TGCAACCTGGGCCTATGTCCTTGACCAGAATCAAACAGGGACCCTTTAGTCCATAGGCCGACGCTCTATCCACTGAGGAAAACCGGCTAGGGCTACTCTTTAGTTATTAAATCTAGGTTGGTGACTCCCAAATCTTAAGCCCTAAATTTTCTCTCAACCTGGCAGCCTGCTTACTGAACATATTCATCTGGATCCAGAGATAACTCAAATTCAACATGTAAGAAGGGGAAATAACCCTTGTGTTCTCCATCTCACTTAACAGTATTACTACCCCTTGAGCCTTTATACTTGAACTCAGGATCATCTTATCTCCCAACATTCATTTCATTACAATCCTGTCCAATACAATGCATCTCTCTCTCTCTCTTTTTTTTTTTTAAATTTCCACTGTCCTGGGACTCACCGTGGCTACTCTTAGGTCTTGTAGCTGACCTTGCTTTTAGTTTCCCTGTACCCCAGTCATCCATCTTCCACATTGCTACCAGACCCTTGCCTAAAATCCTTTGCTTTCAGGAAAAGTCTAAGCTCCTTGATACAGAATAGAAAACCTTTCCAATCTGGTCTCAGTCTATCCCTAGGGTGATTTTATATCTCTTATACCTTTCTCCTGCTCACACCCTCTTCCCCCAATGCATACACTTTGTGTTCATACCTTTGTGTGTATCCTTTTTTTTTTTAAATATATTTTATTGATTTTTTACAGAGAGGAAGGGAGAGGGATAGAGAGTTAGAAACATCAATGAGAGAGAAACATCGATCAGCTGCCTCCTGCACACCTCCTACTGGGGATGTGCCCGCAACCAATGTACATGCCCTTTGACCGGAATCGAACCTGGGACCTTTCAGTCCGCAGGCTGATGCTCTATCCACTGAGCCAAACCAGTTAGGGCTTTTTTCCTGTTTTTTCTTTGTGTGCATTCTTGCGATTCCCTTTGCCTATAGCAATCACCTTCCTTTTAGTTATTTTCAGTGTGTTTACTTTTGAGACAATTTAAAGATTGTCTGGACAGAATTAGCTTATTTGATCTTCCTGCTTATTTAGAATCTTATTTACTTATTTAATTTTTTGTTTGTTTAAGAAGATTTTTTAAATGTGTATTTATTTATTTATTTTAGAGAGAGAGGAAGGGAGAGGGAGAAAGAGGTAGAAACATTGATAAGAGAGAAACATCTATCATGTGGCCTTGGCCAGGAATCAAACCAGTGACCTCTTGGTTCATGGGTCCAAGCTCAATGACTGACCAGGCTAGACTATGAGTTCTTGAAAGGCAGGAATCACATATCATTGTAGGCCCAGCACCTAATGAAATACCTTAAGACTGGGACCTAATATATATTTTCTGAGTTGAATGAATAAACTTGCTTTAGCCTTGTAGTCAGTGGGGTCAAAGGTCAATTATTGGGCCTCTGCAGACTTTAATCAGGGGATTCTGATGAAGATCTCTGTCTATGTTTATCCAGGAAGCCTTTATTCCTATGCTGAGATCCTTTCTCAGGACCTTCCTAATCCCTTACCTCTCAGATTTTCACTCCTTCTGTCACCATCTCAACTCTAAACTCTGCCCAGAGCAGGTATATTTCCCATAAACCCCACTGGAATGTTTGTCTTTGAGACAAGTAGTTATCCAAGGCTTTGGGTGAGGAGATTCCGTCTTCCTGCCTGATCCTTACCTCACTCCCCTCTGGCGGAGATAGTCTCATGAGACACTCCAGAAACAAGAAGTTATTTGACCTTCAACTCCTCCCCATCATCCCTCCTACCCAGGACTTATCTGATCTGGAAGCTGGTGAAGGAAGATAGCTGTAACTAAGTACAGTCTAGTCATCTCACAGACAGGGTCCTGCAAACTCCCAAAAAGGGATGGGCAACTGTCCACCTACCTCCAGCCCTCATCATTACTCTAGCTTTGGCTTCACAACTACTAGAGCTTTTACTCTCCTTTCATTCAGGTTCCCAAAGAATCAAAGAATCAATACTCAGACCTTCACCCCTTGTCTAAGGCAGAAAGTGTTTCCAGACAGCCACCAGGGGGACAGAAGGCTAGTAGCTAGAGAAGAAGGGAACTGATCCCCTCTCATTCTAATTCCTGTGGGAGCCAGCTACTCACACCTGTGGAAATGATTACTGCTGTTTCTGAGCCATTGTCTTGCTGCTGCAGCACAAGCTATAGTTTTTTCCTTCCATTTCCATGCTGACATTCCCTCTACACACCCTGTGCTCTCCTTTCATATTTTTACAGTCCCTGCAGCTTAATAGATATAGGAGATGGCCCTGGATGGGTAGTTCAGTTGGATAGAGCATCGTTCTGATACACCAAGGTCAGGACACAAAGAATCAGCCAGTTATGCCCAGCTGGTGTAGCTCAGTGGTTGGGCATCCACCCAGGAACCCAGAGGCCACCGATTTGATTCCTGGTCAGGGCATATGCCCAGGTTGTGGGCTCGATCCCCTGTGGGGGGCGTGCAGGAGGCAACCCATTGATGATATTTCTCTCTCATTGAAGTTTCTATCTCTCTATCCTTCTCACTTCTTTTCTCTCTAAAAAATCAATAAAGAAAGGATGTGAAGAAAAAGGAACCCTCGTACACTGCTGCTGGGAATGCAGTCTGGTGAAGCCACTATGAAAAACAGTATGGAGTTTCCTCAAAAAATTAAAAATGGAACTCCCATTTGACCCAGTAATCCCACTTCTAGGAATATATCCCAAGAAATCAGAAACACCAATCAGAAAGGATATGTGCACCCCTATGTTCATAGCAGCACAACTTACAATAGCTGAGATTTGGAAACAGTCTAAGTGCCCATCAGCAGATGAGTGGATTAAAAAACTGGTACATCTACACAGTGGAATACTATGCTGCTATAAAAAGAAGGAACTCTTACCATTTGTAACAGCATGGATGGACATGGAGAGCATTATGCTAAGCGAAATAAGCCAGTCGGAGAAAGATAAATATCACATGATCTCACTCATTTATGGACTATAATGAACAACATAAACTGATGAACAAAAATAGATCCAGAGACAGAAATACTTCCAACAGACGATCATATTTCAGAGGAAAGGCAGGGGTGGGGGTGGGAGGTAAGAGATCAACCAAAGGATGTGTATGCATGCATATAAGCATAGCCAATGGACACAGACACTAGTGGGGTGAGGGCATTTGCTGGGGTTTAGGAGTGGCTGGGGAGAGTTCAATGGGGGAAAAGGGAGACATATGTAATGCTTTAATCAATAAAGAGTAGAAAATAAATTGCCTACTTAAAACATGAACATAAGCACAAAAAACATAAATTGCAAACATAATTGACAAAAAACAAAATTTTAAGTCTATGTTTGTGCACGATAAGGATGTTTCTAGATGCCATCAAATAAAATGACAACTCCAAAAAAAAGAAAGACAATTTTGTGTTTATATTTATATTATGCATATATATGTGTATTTGTGTAATAACCCTATGTATGTATGTATGTATAAATATATCATTTAAAGACATATATATATACTAAAAAATAAAAACATTTTTAAAATATCAACCAATGAATGCATAAATAAGTGGAACAACAAATTGATGTTTCTCTCCCTTTCTCAAATCAATCAATAAATACTTTTTAAAAAATTGATATAGAAGTGTACCATGGGCATTAATCATCAGAAGAAGCTGTTGCTGGCCCCTCCCTGCACCCAAGTTTCTCCTATATCTGCTGACCTCTGGTGGTTATAGTTTGAACTGTACCTTCCCTTTCTAGTTAGTGGCCTGCTGGCAGGTAATGGTGTATTTTTTTCTCAACCATCCAAATTCAAATATTCAAGTGCTGTACTAAATGGAAATATTTTTATTGCTGTGTTTTGTACTTGTTTTCAGGCATAATGCAAAGAATAGGACCTGGGCTCTTTTTTTTTCTTCTTCTTCTTTTGGGCCTGGGCTTTGGAGTCAGACTTACCTAGGTTCAAATCATCTTGGGCAAGTTACCTGAATTCAGCTTTCTTACCTATAAAGTGAAGATAATAATAATTTTTAAAAATAATAACAAATTGCCGAAACCGGTTTGGCTCAGTGGATAGAGCGTCGGCCTGCGGACTGAAAGGTCCCGGGTTCGATTCCGGTTGAGGGCATGTACCTGGGTTGTGGGCACATCCCCACTGGGAGATGTGCAGGAGGCAGCTGATCGATGTTTCTCTCTCATCGATGTTTCTAACTCTCTATCTCTCTCCCTTCCTCTCTGTAAAAAATCAATAAAAATATTTAAAAAAAAATAAAAATAAAATAAAAATAATAACAAATAGTTTAATGGGAGAATTAGATGAGGTGATTATAAATGCATAACCCTACCTGTGTCCTAGCACATAGGTGCTCAATAGAAGTTTGTTACATTCTCATTAATAGTGATTGGTTCAGTGTGTGACTCAAAGTGATTTTTAAAATTCTGGCAACATAAAGTTTACCATGATACCATTTTCAATGTGATTTTTTTTTTAATCCAAGAAATTTTATATAACTGATTTCTGATTCTTGAATTTGAAAAACGAGGTAAACTCTAGTATGGGCTGTGAAGTCTCTCTCTGCCCAGGGAGTTATGGATCTTAGACCTAAAAAGGGTTAGATAAGGGTTAGAAGGGACCTTGGGCATAGCTGAACGGCTCTGTGCACTTGACCTCACTTTGGTTTCTTAGCTAACAGGATCCCGTAATTTTTTCCCAGGGTCAGCAAAGGGCAGAGGTTTGAAGTTAAGCATCACTGGGTTCTCAGCTGGGCCTCCAAGGCCCCCTCCTCCCACTTGCAGAGAAAAGAGGAGGTGGCTGGATAGAGGAGGATAGGAGATTGGTTCTCTGCTCCTCCCTCCCCTTGCTTTTCCCCACACCCATCCTCTCCCCCACAGCAGCCATCTCCCCCACAGAGACTGGAAAGAGGGAGGAGGGCGGAGTAGGGGACTGAGGGATCAGAAGCCCCAGGGCCCTGTATCTGAAGGAAGCTCTGGCCAGGGGCAGGTCTGCTGCCTCCTTCAAAATGATGCTGGGTACTCTGGGGCTTTGGGCACTGCTTCCCAAAGCTGTGCGAGGTAAGTGTCTATGGGGAGGGGCAGGGTCCTTCCATTCACCCACTGAGGAAAGGAGCATTTGAAGCAGCAGCCACCCCTTTGGAAGAGTGGTGAGTGGGGTGGGTGAGTGAGGGTGACGGGTAGAGCCACGTGGCCCCATGGTGGGGGGTCAGGTTCCAGGCCTCTGCTGACACTGTTTCCTCCTATGGCTTTACCATGCTGGCCCTGGGATAGGAAACATGTTTTGTCTCTCCTTTTGGCTGCTGTTTTTGCCCCTGCATTCACTCTCTTAAACCTCCCCTCCCCACCCTGGGCCACAGCACCCCCAAGCAGGCGGACCTGTGTGTTCTTTGAGGCCCCTGGAGTGCGGGGAAGCACAAAGACACTGGGGAAGCTGCTAGATGCAGGACCAGGGCCCCCCAGGGTTATCCGCTGCCTCTACAGCCACTGCTGCTTTGGGATCTGGAACCTGACCCAAGACCAGGCACAGGTGGAGATGCAAGGTGAATGGCAAAATATATGGCAGGTGATAGGTAGGGCGGGAGACAGGTACATCCTGGGGTGGGGGTGGCAACCCAGGGAGAGGAGGAAAAATGGAATGTGTGGAGGGAAAAGAAAAGCCCATATCAGATGGAAGGGATGCCTCTGAGAAGGGATTTACCCTCTCTCTCCCCAGACTTCATTATGCTCTCTCTCTCTCTCTCCATCTCTCTTTCTTTTTCTTCTTCTCTTTCTTAATCCCTTTCTCTCCTCTTTTCCTAATCCTACCCTGTCAGGATGCCGAGACAGTGATGAGCCAGGCTGTGAGTCCCCGCGATGTGACCCAAGCCCCCGAGCTCAGCCCAGTCCCAGCTCCACTCTCTTCACCTGCTCCTGTGGCACTGACTTCTGCAATGCCAATTACAGCCACCTGCCTCCTCTGGGGAGCCCTGGGACTCCTGGTCCCCAGGGTCCCCAGGCCATCGCAGGTAACCCCTGGGGTGCTGAACCTGGGTGGAGACTGGGGCCCAGGTTAGGAGAGGTAGAACCAGGGCCAGTTCTCACCCTACCCCCGTCCCGAGCTTCACTCCTTCTGGCCTTGAAAAGTTGGTTGCCCTGGTGACTGTGAGATAACAGGGCTTGTGACCAGGGTGAGGGTGGGTGGAGAAGCAAGATTTCTGAGGAGGGGAGAGGAGCAGAGAGTAGATTTGGGGCAGGGATCATCCAGCCTGCATTCTTGCCTTAATGCCTAGGCGAGTCCATCTGGATGGCGCTGGTGCTGCTGGGGCTGTTTCTCCTCCTGCTGCTGCTGGGCAGCATCATCTTGGGTATTAATTTGCCCCATCCCTCACTTGTGACCCCAAGACACTGCCCCAAAGCTCTGACCCCTCTCCAGGCTTCCTTGACCCTCTGGTTCGGAGATCTCTGCAACCTGACTCCCATTACCTCCCACAAAGCCCCCTTCCCAGTCTCCATTCCCGTGCACTCTGACTCTAAGGCTCTTTATACCCCAGCCCTGCTACAGAGAAAGGCCTGCAGAGTGAGAGGTGGGCCAGCGCCAGAGCCAGAGCCAGACGCAGGCAGGGACTGGAGTGCGGAGCTGCCTGAGCTGCCTGAGCTGTGCTTCTCCCAGGTGCCCAGGGCGGGAGGAAGGTGTCCTCTAAGTGCTCCCAGAGGGTGTGCTGGGGAGGAAGCCTAGTCCACACCCAACACCGTATCCCACCAGGTAATCCGGGAAGGAGGTCACGCAGTGGTGTGGGCTGGGCAGCTGCAAGGCGAGCTGGTAGCCATCAAGACCTTCCCCCTGAGGGCTATGGCCCAGTTCCGAGCTGAGAGAGCATTGTATGAGCTGCCAGGCCTGCAGCACGACCACATTGTCCGCTTTATCACTGCCAGCAGGGGGGGACCTGGGCCCCAGCACTGTGGGCCCCTGCTGGTATTGGAACTGCACCCCAAGGTGAGGACCAAGACATGTACATGTGCGTGTTTGCCTGTGTGTGAATGGGGATGGAGATGGGGGTGGGGGGAGCTGGATGTCAGCTGGGCCCTGTCCATGCTTATTCTTCTGCTTTAGATTTCCTGTTCTCTAAAACATTAAAAATTATTTTTCATATTTTTTCTTTCTATCACACATGAAATACCTGCTAATACTTTTAACCCATAAAATAGCTAAGGAAAGGGAAAATCAAAATAATTTATATTCTGTACCTTAAAGAAAATCATTGTTAAAGAAAGACCTTGAGCTCTAGCTGGTTTGGCTCAGTATTTAGAGCATCGGCTCATGGACAGAAAGGTCTCAGGTTCAATTCTGATCAAGGGCATGTACTTCAGTTGTAGGCTCAATCCTGGCCCAGGGTTGGGGCACTTGCGGGAAGCAACTAATCAATGTGTATCTCTCACATCAATGTTTCTCTCTGTGTGTCTCTCCCCCTCCCTTCCACTCTCTAAAAAAATCATTGGAAAATATCCTTGGGTGAGAATTAACCAAAAATAAAGAATAAATAAATAAATAAATATCTTGAGCCCTACTGGTTTGGCTCAGTGGATAGAACACCATGTTCAATTCCAGTCAAGGGCATATATCCGGGTTATGGTCTCAGTCCCCAGTATGAGGTGTGCAGGAGGCAGTCAATCAAGGATTCTCTCTCATCATTGATGTTTCTATCTCTCTCTCCCTCTCCCTTCCTCTCTGAAATCAATAAAAATATATTTTTTAAAAATACCTTGCCAAAACCGGTTTGGCTCAGTGGATAGAGCGTCAGCCTGCGGACTGAAAGGTCCCAGGTTCGATTCCGGTCAAGGGCATGTACCTGGGTTGCGGGCACATCCCCAGTGGGAGATGTGCAGGAGGCAGCTGATGTTTCTAACTCTCTATCTCTATCCCTTCCTCTCTGTAAAAAATCAATAAAATATATTTTTTAAAAAAATACCTTGAGCCCTGGCCAGTGTTTCTCAGTGGTTAGAATGTCAGTCCGCAAACCGAAAGGTCTCGGGTTTGATTCCCAGTCAAGGGCACATATCTGGGTTGCAGGTTGGATTCCTGCGCCATTGGGGCACATGTGAAAAGCAAACAATGTGTTTCTTTCACATCGATGGTTCTCTCTCTCTCTCTCTCTCTCTCCCTCCCTACCTACCTCCTTCTCTTCCACTCTCTCTGAAAATCAATGGAAGGAATATCCTTGGGTGAGTAATTAAAAAAACACACAAAAGCCCTAGCTGGTTTGGCTCAGTGGATAGAGCGTTGGCCTGAGGACTGAAGGGTCCCTGGTTTGATTCCGGTCAAGGGCACATGCCCGGATTACAGGCTTGATCCCCAGTAGGGGGTGTGCAGGAGGTGATTCTCTCTCATCATTGATGTTTCTATCTTTCCCTCTCCCTTCCTCTCTGAAATCAATTAAAAAACCAAAACAAACAAACGAACAAACAACACACACACACACACACACACACACACACACACACACACGCCCGGCCTGTATTGCTCAGTGGTTGAACATCAGCCCATGAACCAGGAGGTCACAGTTCAATTCCTGGTCAGGGCATATGTGCAGATGTGCAGGTTGTGGGCTCGATCCCCAGTAGGGGTAGTGCAGGAGGCAGCCCATCAGTGATTCTCTTTCATCATTGATGTTTCTATCCCTCTCTCCCTCCCCCTTCTTCTATCTGAAATCAATTAAAAAAACATATATTTTTTAAAAGAAATACCTTGAGGCATAGCCCTTCAAATTTATTCATATATTCATTCAATAAATATTAATGAACTGTGTGTCAGGCACTGTCCTGAGTGCTAGGACAAACACTCCGAGTCCCTCCCTGCCTTTACAGGTTTTATGGAGTAGTAGGGGAGACAGAAGTGGGTCAAATAAGCACAAAAATAAGTTTAAAATGTCAACTGTATTAGGTGTTGAAAGACAGGGCCATGCTACTTACAAGAGAAGAATAAGGAGACGTGACTCAAGGGGCGGACCATGAGCAATAAGGATGAAGAGGAAGAGGTAAGCCAGGGCCAGACCACACTTGGCCTTGTGGGCCTAACTAAGGACTTGGGAGTTTATCAGCACCCATAGCTCCTCCACCTCTGAAATCCTGAATTCTGGAAAGTCCCCCTTTTGACCATGTGCCTCACTGCTCAGCTCAAAAATCACTGCCTTTTTGGTTTTGTTTATTTGTTTAACTTTCCTGGCACACTGAGAGTGCTCAATGTTGGTCGAATGCAGAACTCTTTTTTTAAAATAAGTTTTTATTGATTTTAGAGAGAGAGATAGAAACATTGATGAGAGAGAAGCATCCATCAGCTGCCTCCTGCCTGCCACCCAGCGGGGATCAAACCGGTGACCTCTTAGTGCATGGGTAGATGCTCAACCACTGAGCAACACTGGCCGGGCTCAATTGCAGGACTCTTGCTCCTTCCCAACAATTTTCCCTTGCTTCCCAACTGCCACTCTCCTACCCAACAGATCTACTCACTGGCCAGTTCTACCACACAGGCTTGACACCTCAAGCCAGGTGGTTCATGAGGGGTGCCTGGGCCTAGCTCATCCTGCCTCTTCTTTTTCTGCCTTTGTCCAAAGTCCTCTGAGACAGTCTAAGGTGGTTAATTGTGAGTGACACTAGAGTCAGACTGCTTGGGTTCAAGCTCCACTTCTCTTTCACCAAGTGACTTCCAGCAAGCTTAGTCAGCTCTCTGTCAAGCTCCTCATCTGTAAAACAGGAGTGACAGGAGTACCTTCCTCCTAGAGTTGTTGTGAGGATTGCCTGGCCCACAGTTAGTGCTCAGGACCCTTGGACTGGAGTTACTATTTTTCCTGTCAATCTGACTATGCGCATTCTCACTCCTCTATTGCCTGTTATCTTGCCCTAAATGTGTCAGTGTGCTGGTCTGCTGAGAGATGCAGGGGGATGTCTGTCCATTGACCTCTCTTCTGGGGTGGATCAGCCACCTCCAGCTTTGTGTGTCCCCCTCTTCTCTGTACTTCTCCCAGGGTTCCCTGTGCCACTACTTGACCCAGCACACCAGTGACTGGGGACGTTCCCTGCGGATGGCACTGTCCCTGGCACAGGGCTTGGCATTTCTCCATGAGGAGCGCTGGCAGGATGGTGGGTGAGCTGCGAGCAAGAAGCCATGGGAATCAGGAGCCACAATACTATGTTTCTGATTCTCCCTTAGCTTGGAGGGGAAGGATTGGGTCCAAAGGGAAAGGAAGAAGATCCATGCCCCTTCAACCTTGGCTTCTCCCACAGGCCAATATAAACCAGGTATTGCCCACCGAGATCTGAGCAGCCAGAATGTGCTCATTAGGGAGGATGGGTCATGTGCCATTGGAGACCTGGGCCTCGCCTTGGTGCTACCTGGCCTCACTCCGCCCCCCACCTGGGTCCCTACTCGACCCCAAGGCCCAGCTGCCATCATGGAGGTAAGTACCCTGGATAAGGATGAGGCCTATGATAATGGTGCTGCTGCTGCAGAAGATGTGCCCATTGCTATAGCAACAGTGCAGCAGCGCCTGCAGCGTTTGGGACATTGCTGAGTGTGTAGTTGGGGGATGTTGCATGGACCAGTGTTGTGGTGAAGGCTATCAAGGAGATGATTCTTGGTCCTCCACGCCTTTCTCTTCAGGCTGGTACCCAGAGGTACATGGCCCCGGAGCTCCTGGACAAGACTCTGGACCTACAGGACTGGGGCATGGCCCTCCGGCGAGCCGATGTTTATTCTCTGGCTCTGCTCCTGTGGGAGATCCTGAGCCGCTGCCTGGATCTGTGGCCTGGTAAGGATGGGTGCAACAGTCCCCTCTCGTCCCCAGTGGACCCATCCATTCCAGATCCACCTACCTCCTGACCCAGGAAGCTCTGCCCTTCTCCCCCTTGGTCTTTCCACAAGGAAGGCACCCCCAGCGCTAGCTGACACGTAATCCTGTGTGCTTTCCCCCAGACAGCAGACCACCACCCTTCCAACTGGCCTATGAGGCAGAACTGGGCAGCACCCCCACCACCTGTGAGCTATGGACCTTGGCAGTGGCGGAGAGAAGGCGCCCTTACATCCCACCCACTTGGTGCTGCTTTGCCACAGTAAGAAGCCACTGGCTGGTGGGCTGGGGACCCGGAGAGTCTGGGCACAGGCTTCAAGGGCTTGTCGGCCAGGACCAGTCCCTCTACTCCTTCCATCCCTTCTTCTCCACCACCCCTGCACCGTGTTCAGCTGAAGCCGGGCAAACTTTCTCTGTATTTCAGTTCATCCTCTTCCACCATAGGTCTCACACAGCCCACTCCTGAGGCTCACACCTCCCCCTTGCTCAGTCTGTCTTTCTTCTCCCCACCCGTCAGCCTTGCTCTGCAGCCCCCTGCTTCAGGAAGTCCTCCTTGGCTTTGCTCCTGCCCTGAGCACTGTCCCCAAGATGGCTTCTCTCCCGGTACACTGGCATCCAGCCTTCAATCCAATCACTCCTCGTTCTGTCCTACACATCTGTGTTTCTAACATGACCCAATAAAGCCAGTTCTGGGTATAAAAGGTTAAAGCAGTAGCCTAAGAATGAAATGTTAGTGGTCTGCACAAATAGTTTTAACAGGAAACCCCGTCCCTGCTACCTGGTCTGAAATACCTGGCCTAAAATTTCCACTGCACAAGTATTTGCTGTGTTAGATAACAGAGGCCCGGAGACTGTTTGCAGAAGACCCTGTTTGCCTGAAAGGAAGGAGAGCAGTTTCTCATCAACATGTTAAGCCATAACCAGAATTAGCTCCTCAGAGGAAAAGGTGGGCCCTTTGGAAGGCACCCAGAGAACCTGTCTCAGGCAACAAGATGCAGAGGGCTGGATTTCAGGGAGGGGCAGGGGAGGGTGGTGGACATCTTTTAATGACCTACTCAGGGTCCTGGGGTCAAGCCTGCCTCTTGGCCATTATTCCCAGGACCCTGGTGTTCTTAGAGAGATCCTAGAGGACTGTTGGGATGCAGACCCGGAAGCACGGCTGACAGCTGAGTGTGTACAGCAGCGCCTGGCTGCCCTGGCCCATCCTCAGGAGGCCCACCTCTTCCCAGAGGGCTGTTCACATAGCTGCCCGCCTCTCGGCGCAGAAGACTGTCTCTCGACTCCTCCCCACCACCCTTCTCCCTTGTAGGCCTCGGCTGAGAATCTGTCACTTCAGCATTCAGCAAGGCCCTTGTTTCAGGATTCTCAACCTACCGATACCATTTCTCATGTGTAACTACGCAGTTTATGTGTAATCGATGTATGCGCAAACTAGACACGGTGATCATATGCCTGTTTGCTCTGCCTCACTGCTGCCTTTCCCGCTTGCCAAATGCTTGGACCCTTCTGTGGGTATCCAGTCCACTATAATTCTGACCAGTGACGGAGGGTAGGTGTGCACAGGAAAGAGATAAAGTCAGCTTTCCTGACTCCACACCCTTAGGGCATCCTCCCTTCTTATGATCCTGGGCTCCTCCTGGCGCTCTTCTTTTCCTTCTCCTCAACAAGCCTTTATTTGGTGGGATACCATGAAGGGCACTGGGGAAAGAGGGATGAAACCATGAACTTGCTGCTCTGAAGGTGCTCGGAGATCCACAACTCACTCTGTTGGGGTCCTGTACAGTGTCCTGGGGGGGGGTGTTCTCTGCTGAGGCCTGAGTAGAAGGCCTCACAGCACAGGATGCTTGAGCTGGGTCTTGAATGAGGAGGAATTTTCCAGGAGTGGTGGGGGCAGTACGACATTCCTGCCCAGTGAGGTGTATCATGAGGTGCAGCAAGAAACTACAGGTAACCTGAGTAGCAAAAGTGTGTGTGTGTGTGTGTGTGTGTGTGTGTGTGTGTGTGTGTGTGGTGGGGGAGGGGGTGGCGGGAAAAGAGAAAAGGTGACAAGGAGAACTGTAGGCAAGGCTTTGCGAGCCATGCTGAGAACTTCTTCCGTCATTTATTTTTTTTATGTTTTCTCTACTGGCTTTTCTTTCCCAACCCGGGCATCTTTACTAATGGGTACCCCTCAAGGTCAGTCCAGTTACAAGTGCCTGCCTGGTGTATAACCCTGGCTCGGTTTCTAACTCTCCAAGTGCCCTTGGGCAAGTTACTTCCTCTTTCTAGGGCTCAGGTTCCTTATTTGCTATATAAGGGGTTGGAAGCCTTTTTGTCCAATCCCAGAAGAACAGTGGGGGAGTCCTGATTTCACTACCACAGGATTGCTTCCTGCTCCGTGACCAACTAACTTCTGTGCCCTCGGGCAAGTTTCTTCACCCTTGGAATCTCAGTTCCATCTTGTGTGACGTGTGGAGAAAAACACGTACCCTGCTTTGCAGGGTCAATTCAGGGTGAAAAAAAGGTGACACGTCTTACACAGCTCCTGGCCTTAGTAAACACTTTGTAAATGGTAGCAGTTGTGATTGAGCATTGAGATTATTCTAGCCCCTTTCTAGCTTGGTTGTTCTAGAGTTCCAGGATTAGCCTCTGGAGAGCCCATCTACTCTCAGGCCCCGAGATTTCACCTTCCTTCAGACCCAGGTCTCTAAATCTCTACAAGACATCATCTCTTGGATAGGCAGCCACCACATGAAACTAAACACATCAAAATCCAAGCTCCTGCCCCCCCCTCAACAACAGGGCTGCCTTTCCTTCTTCCTCGACTCTCAAGGACACCAAGTTTCTCTTGGTCCTAGAAGAGCCCAATAAGGAAGATGTTCTTGTCCCTTCCTGAGGCCCCAGCTCATCTTACCCGTTGAGGTTGTATGGGCAGGGCCAGCTGCTGGGTACCATCCCCCTTTCCTCCCTCCTAGGTCTGGCAGCCTCAACTACTGAAATTACCGCTTGACCGCCTCTTTCCCCCCCAATCTAGGTTAAACACCACTGTAAACAATCTTTAAACATAACTGCATTGTATTTTGCCTCTGCACAACAGTCTACTTGCTTGTTTCGTGACATTCCTATGAGCACCATTTACAAAGGCGGAAACCAAGGATTCAGAGAAGTTTAAGAATATGTCTAAGGTCACACAGACCTTAAGTAACAGAGCAGGAATTTTCATCATTAAAAACAATGTTTATGAAAATGCCATAAGTTATTAGAAATGGTAATGTCATATGAAAAGAATATATAGACCTATGCTGGCAAGCATAGGGTTATGTTAAATAAAAATAAACCTACAATCACAAGAAAAACAAACAAATCCCAATAGAGGGACATTTTATAAAATACCCATTCAGCACTCCTCAAAAGTTTCAAGATCATCATAAGTAAAGAAAACCTGAGAAACTATCACAATGATGAGGAGCCTAAGGAGACATGGTGACTAAATGGAATGTGATATCCTGGAACAGAAAAAGGACATTGGGTAAAAACGTAAGAAATCCGAATAAAGTTAACAATCATAAGTCAACGTTGATTCATTCTGGTAACAAACATAACATACTAATGTAAGATGTTAATAATAGGGGAACTGGGTGTGGGGAATATAAAAACTCTGTATCAGTTTTTCTGTAAACCTAAAACTGTTCTAAAAAAATAAAGCTTATTTTAAAAAACCAAAACAACAACTATGTCCATCTCCAAAATGTCAGAGAGGCCATAAATACAAGGAACAAGGGGAGGGTTGTGGTAAGCATTACAATGTTTATTTGCAGTAATTTTGAGTGGGTGTATTGTACTGTGTTGCATTGAAGGCATCACTAACATAGAAGCCAAAAAACCGAGATTATCATCTTGGCTCTCCTAACTATGAACTCTTCGAAAAGTTTATTTATTTAATATTCTCAGGAAGTTGAAAGCATCATTCTCTGTCATTTTCAACCCTATAATTCTATGATTCTATGATAAAATGGGAATATTTCACCAAATCTAGTGTTTACCTAGTTGGTATTACCATGATTAGCGAGTCCATGCTCATAGAGAGGTAGAATGCATGTAAATAAGCTCTTCAGAAGTTTGAAAACATAAATATCTGAGTAGAGTGAACTTATGGGAGAAAAACTATGGCTGAAGGCAGAGGTGGTGATCTTGGAAGAAGACTGATTTTTACTATCTACCTGTATTTTTACCTCTTGAATTTTGCGCTGTTAGCATGTTTTGTCTATTAAAATTAAACACATTTAAAAATATTTTTATTGATTTCAGAGAGAGAGTGAGAGAGAGAGAAACATCAATGATGAGAGAGAATCATTGATCTACTGCCTCCTGTATGCCCCCTACTGGGGAATGAGTCCACAACCTGGGCATGTGCCCTTGACTGAATCGAACCCAGGACCCTTCAGTCCATAGGCTGACGCTTTATCCACTGAGCCAAACCGCCTAGGGCTAAATACAATATTTTTAAAATATATTTTATTGATTTTTTACAGAGAGGAAGGGAGAGGGATAGAGAGTTAGAAACATCCATGAGAGAGAAACATCCATCAGCTGTCTCCTGCACACCTCCTACTGGGGATGTGCCTGAAACCAAGGTACATGCCCTTGACTGGAATCGAACCTGGGATTCTTCAGTCCACAGGCCGACGCTCTAGCCACTGAGCAAAGCTGGTCAGGGCTAAATACAATATTTTTATATTTATGGACTTTCAGAGAGAAGAGGAATGGAGAGAGAGAGGGTGGGAGGAGAAACATGGATGTGACAGAGAAACTATAATTGATTGCCTCCTGTATATGTCCCAACCAGAGATCAAACCAGCAACCCAGGTGTATATACCCTGACTGGGAATCAAGCCTGAAATCTTTAGGTGTACAGAACAACGCTCCAATCCACTGAGCAACCCAGCCAGGGCTAGTTGGGTCTCTTTTATCCATTCTGATCATTCTACTTTTTAAAAATATATATATTTTTATTGATTTCAGAGAGGAAGGGAGAGAAAGAGATAGAAATATCAATGATGAGAGAGAATCATTGATGGGCTGCTTCCTGCACGCCCCCCACTGGGATTGCATCCACAACCTGCGCATGTGCCCTTGACCGGAATCAAACCCAGGACCCTTCAGTCTGCAGGTCGACACTCTATCCACACCAGCTAGGGCTCATTCTACTTTTTAATTGGGGTGTTTAGGCCATTAAGATTTATGTGAATATTGAGATGACTAGATTTAGGCCTACCATTTTATTATTTATTTTCCATTTGCTTTTTAATTAAAACATTTTTTTTCATTTACAGTTGGCATTCAATATTATATTAGTTTCAGGTGTACAGCAGTGGTTAGACATTTATATAACTTATGAAGTCATCTTCCCAATATTTGAAAACTGTTTTTAGAATAATTTTAAATTTACAGAGACGGTGGAAATACAGCTATGGACACAATGTTTGTGTCCCTCCACAATTGATAGGTTGAAATCTAAACCCACAATGTGATGGTGTTAGGGGGTGGGGCAAAAAAAAATTAAATACAGCTGACCCTTGAACAGCGTGGGGTTTTGGGGCATGAACCCCCGCACAGTTGAAAATCACTTAAGTTATCCCTTGATATTTGTGGAGGATTGGTTCCAGGACCCCCTGTGTATATCCAAATCTGAGGATGCTCAAGTCCCCTGTATAAAATGGCATAGATTAATGCATGAAATCGGCCCTTCCCATCTGCAGACTCCCATCAGTGGGTTGAAAACTGTACAGATATTGAAAAAGATCCACGTGTAAGTGGGCCTGCTCAGTTCAAAGTCATGTTCAAGGGCCAACTGTATTTACTTATTAAATTTAAAAGTCTATATCCAGGAGAAACCAAGATGGCGGCATAGGTTAACACGGGATTTTGCTGCCTCGAACAACCACTTCAAAAACACAACTAAAAGACGCAACGGACATCATCCAGAACCACAGGAAGGCTGGCTGAGTGGAAGTTCTACAACTAGGAGGAACCGAGAATCAGAGGAGGCGCAGTGCTGAAGTAAAATACTAAGGTGCGGAGTGCGCGCAGCGCGGGCTGGTGGCTGAGGGCACGGTTGACTGTTTCAATCCAGAGGGAGCCTCAGACTCTGAGCTCCAGATCCGGGCGAGTCTCTGGGGACCCAGACTCAAACGGGAGAAGCGGGACTGTCTGGCTTCGGTCCCTCCGAGGTTTGCAGCAGTTGCTGGGACAGAGAGGCAGAGCCCCTGGGGACAGACTGAGAGCAGCCATAACTGCTCCCTCCTCTGCCCTGTTGATCCTGTGGGACCCGCCCCACCCAAGCCCTGCACAGAGCCATTTGCCGGATAGCCTCAGGCAAAGGCTAGATTAGCACCTCCCTAGAGGACAGAAGTTCTCCCACTGCAAACACAGCTGATTCTCACAGCCAGTTGGCCTGGAGGTCAAGTAGTAATTACC